CGGGCACATACCCAGTGGGGAGTGTGCGATGTTTCTAACTCTCTATCCCTCTCCTTACTCTCTGTAAAAAATTAATAAAAATATATATAAAAAATAAATAAATAAAGACCATAATATGAGGGAGAGGAAAACTAGAGGGGCTATGCTACTGATATAGAAAACGGAGACATTAAGGACATGTCAAATCAGTGAGGGGAAAATGGAGGCAAGACAAAGGAAGACTCAACACTATATAATATCTTGATAGCCTCACCTTGGATTTCAAATCAGAAATTGAGTCAAATTTTTCAATTATTAAGAAAATTCAACAGATTTAAATTGTTTGATAAATAGCCGAAACCGGTTTGGCTCAGTGGAAAGAGCGTCAGCCTGCGGACTGAAGGGTCCCGGGTTCGATTCCGGTCAAGGGCATGCTGAAAGGTCCCGGGTTCGATTACGGTCAAGGGCATGTACCTGGGTTGCGGGCACATCTTCAGTAGGAGATGTGCAGGAGGCAGCTGGTCGATGTCTCTCTCTCATCGATGTTTCTAGCTCTCTATCTCTCTCCCTTCCTCTCTGTGGAAAATCAATAAAATATATTAAAAAAAATAAAAATAAATTGTTTGATAAATATAGTCATGCAATTTAAAATAACTATAAAAAGTTGCAAATCAATCTCTCTCTTTTTTTACAAAGACTTAATGGCAGGCAATAAAGCTAGATACAAATAATCTTCCTTTTAAGCCATTCACTACTCTTCCTACTCAGAGAACAAAACCAAATTCCTTACATCTGCATTCAAAGCCTTTAATGAGCTGGGCTGGCCTGGCTCAGTGGTTGAGCATTGGCCTATGAACCAGGAGGTCACCTTTGGATTTCTGGTAGGTGCACATGCCAATCAGTGATTCTCTCATCACTGATGTTCCTCTCTCTCTCTCTCCCTCTCCCTTCCTCTCTGAAATCAATAAAAATGTGCGTGTGTGTGTGTGTGTGTGTGTGTGTGTGTGTTTAAAGCCTTTCATGACCTAGCCACAACTATACCCAAATAACCTTAACTCCCCCTACCCCCTAAACCTCCTCTTCACTCTCCCAGCGCACAGGCCTCCCGACCGATCTTCTCTCTCTAGGGGTTGGCCATCCCCACCTGCCTACCTGGCATGGCAGTCACCTTCCACCTACAGGCTCTGGCTGGCCAAGGCCTACACTGGCGAGGTGTCGTCCGGCAGCTCGCCCATCCTCATTGCGCTGCAACCCTCCCTCCCTTTCTGGGCCTCCCGGACTAGGATTCTCCGATTTGCCCGGGCCCCTCTCCCTCCCCACGCGAGGGCCTTCTCCCTGATCCAGGACGTTCTCCCAGGGGCTCGCTCCCGCCTGCTCCACTCAGGCACAAGCTCTGCACTCGGCTTCTATTAGGTCTTTCCCACCTGGGGCGAAACCAGAACCTGGACGTTCAGCACCCCCTCGCCACTCCCCAAATCTCTCGGGTGCTTCCACCACCCTCCAGGCGCTCCCCGCAGCCACCCCTCTGGAACTCCGGTTCCCCAAACCTCCCCGCGGCCGCAGCCAATCCTTCCTATCCGGCCAAGGCGGTGGGGGTCAGCGGTGACTCACCCGAGGGCTGGCCGGCGGCTGGGGGGCCGGAATGCGCTCACTTCCTCACCGCGCGCACCTGCCCGGTGCTGCTGGGGCGCTGCCCGGCCGGGCCTCCGGCGGATGTTTTCTGTCCCCGCGCTGGCGGCGCGCGCCAAACGCCCCCGCGCCAACCAAGGCGCCCCCTCAACTGGCATCTCGGAGGCCGCAGGAATTAGGAATCACGGGGTTGAGCCCTAATAACTAACACTCCTACACACACACCCTCAAAAGCTGGGCCTCCAGCCCCAAGAACCTACACACATGCGCACGCACACACACACCAATAGACATGCAAATGGATTCAACCAACAAGTTCCCGCCACTCCCCGACTCTGGGAGAGGGATCTTGGCTCAGCCCTAGCCTTTCTCCCCAGGAGCCCCCTACTCCTACCTCATCTTCATTACAGGCAGTTCTCATGTCTGTCGCCATGCCCCCCCATCAATGCCAATCCCCAGTGGGCCCCTTCGCCTTCCAGCATCACCGCCACCACCTACATGCTCCCTAGCTCTCCACTAGTGTCGCCCCCTACTAAGCTGGCTCCAGGCTGCAGGAGCAGAAGGTAGTCCATGATCCAGACTTCAGGTGTCAGCTAGCATCCCTCGCACAGAAAGGCAGCAGCAGAGCTACTGACCACGAACCAGGCTGCTGGGCCCTTGTGGTAGACAGGCCTCCTAACCCACCTGCTCCAGCCAACCGAGCAGTCCAAGGCCATGCCTCCCACACGCCAGCCTACATCAGGGCACCCTGCTTCAGCCATGAGGTTCCTTCTCTCTCTGGGCACTCCTCTAACGTGGAAAGGCTATCAGCCCTGCCGAGGGTGAATGGTGGTACAGTCTGCATCTCCTTCCACTTAAGCTGTCTCCTTGGAAGAGGACAGATGGGGAGTTTGAGGTGGACTGATGAGTTGCTTCTGAATAGTGAAGAGCTGAGAGGCAGGGTAACCTTCTACAAGAGTCAGCCAGAGTCGCTGTATCTGATCCAGTGGGTGACAAGGAGTCTCGGGGTAAATGAGACTAGAGACTTGGATGGAAAAATGAAATCCATGCCAAAGTGACTGGCCCTGTCGGTAGGAGGGGACGCCCTGGAATAGGAGCCTGTGGGGTATAGAAAAGTGAAAGAAATCCAGTTTAGCTAGAGGACATTAGTACCACAGAGATGGCCAGCATTAGAGTGATCAGAAAGGAGAACGCAAGAGTTTGCATGAGTGAGGATGGGAAGAAATGGATCAAAATCCAGAAAAAGCAGTCCTAAGTGAGCTGGTAGGATAAGAAAATCTCTCTTCCCAGGGCAGAAGTGAGGGCCCTGGCCTAGGGAAAACAGTTTTATCAGCAACACCGTTGCTCAAACCAAACACTTAGAATTTCAAAGATACAAAGACCAAAACCAAAAACCAAAATGCTTCTGGAGGTAGTTTTTGAAGGCGGTGGTAAGGGGTGACATGGAGCATGAGTGTGAAAGGGACATGAGTCTATGCCTGGAGACAGCAGAAGCTCAATGTCATTAAAAGGAATATCTACCCATTTTGTCTCTGAGCTCTAGCGCCAACCTCAGTAGCTAATATTTTCTGAGGGCTATGTGCTGGGGACAGATAACATGCATTATCTCATTTAATATTCTTAGCAACCCTACGAGTAGTACCATCCCAATTTATAGATAAGGAAAGAGGTTTAGAGAGGTGAAGTAACTTGCCAAAAGTCACACGGCTCTTAAGTGGAGTCAGGATCTGAATCCAAGTAGTCTGACTCTGCAACCTTTGCTCTTAATCACCCATCTCGGGTTCTCCACAACCTGCAGGAAACCCAGAAGAGGATGTCAAGGGGTAAATTCCTAAATCCTCCCTCCATAACATACAGGAGAGAGAGGCACCTCTAGGAAACTGGGGCGACTCCTACGTTAGAGCATTTGGAGGAAACGTTCCTCTGAAAAACATCCAGAAGGGGAGATCGCATATCTGCTATATGTTTGTGTGATGAACAATGGAGAGCCCATCTCTGGATGCCTGTGGAAAAGAGACACCCTATCCCCTGACCCCCATCTCAGGGGCAGCCATGTCTCTAGGATACTTCAGGGAGACCCTGCCCTGGGGTCTGAGAGAAACAGTCTCCACTCCAGGTGCCTGTTTGCTCTCCTGGAGCCTCTGGCCGTCGCACCCTACAGCAGCTCCTGGGTTTGGCTGGGGCACAGGATTAGCCATCCCCAGGAAATGCCTCCCTCCGGTCCAGGCAGGGATCCCAGCACATCCACCCCTGGAGAGAGTGTGTGTGGTATGGTGGGGTGGGGTGGGGTGGGGTGGGAGATGGTGGAATGCTTCCTTCTCTCCAGGTCAGAGATCTGGGGACCACCTGGGGGCCCTCACCCCTCCCACCTCCTTGCTGGGGGAGTGCCCAGTCCAGTGCCCCCTCCATGGCCACCTCCCTCCCCCTAGCTGTGCAGGGGCATGAATCAGCTCTCACAGCTTGTTAAAGCTGGACCTCTTGTTTTCATGCCCTCACCCCAGGAAACAGAGTTACAGCTTTTCCAGCTCTACTCAGCAGGGGGCCAGGGTCCTCACTTTATAAACATCTCCAAGCCTGTGAGAGCAGAGGGCAAGGAGATGGTGTGAGACAGGAGCCCAGGGGGAAAGACAGACACTAAGACTCGAGGAGAGAAACAAAGAAGAGCCAAGGAGACAAGACCGGAGTAGCCTGACCAGAAGCCAAGAGGGTCCGAAAGGGCTGTGCTCCAGAAATGGCCCTAAGGATGTTCTGGGCTGGACAGGCTAAGGGGATCCTGGGAGGCTGGAGGATCATCTGCTTGGTGCTATCTCTGCTCCTTCAGCACCCAGGAGTCCACAGCAAATGCTACTTCCAAGCTCAAGGTAACGCTGGGTGAGGCATTAGGAAAGGAAAAGGAGCGGAGGGCATTCACTGGTTGGAGGGGGGCTTAGAGATGATCCGGGGTCACTCAGAAAAGGAAAGACTAAATATGGGGAGAGTGTGCCCTTAGCGTCTCCTACGCCAGGATGATTCTATCTGCCGCCACTGCTCCCGTTACACTAACGTGTCCTGTTCTTCCCTAGCGCCCTGCCACTATGAAGGGAAATATTTTACCCTGGGTGAGTCTTGGCTCCGCAAGGACTGCTTCCACTGCACCTGCCTGCATCCTGTCGGTGTGGGCTGCTGTGACACGTGAGTGACCAGAAATGGCCAGAGAGAATGGCTCTGATGGGAGAGATGGGCAGGGCACGACTAGATTCTGTCAAGTTAGAATGAAGAGAATAGCAGTATGAGGCTGACCAAACCTGAAGGTAACAAGAGGGTGAGAGAGAAAGCTTCAGGCTACAAAGTGAGGGAGGTAGGGGTGGATCGAGAAGGAAAATATTGCTGCTATGAAATGAAAACAATCCAACTATGGTAGGTGAGAATTTAGTTAGGGGGACCAAAGGGGCACCAGGGGGAGATCTGGGAGGACTGCTGGGGGAAAGGGAATGTGGGGAGGGATAGGTGGCCCTTCACTGTGCTGACTCCTTCCCCATCCTTTGGGTCCCCAGGTCCCAGCATCCCATCGACTTCCCTGCTGAGTGTGAGGTACGACAGGAGGCAGGAACCTGCCAATTCTCCCTGGTACAAAAATCTGACCCTCGGCTGCCCTGCAAAGGGGGAGGGCCTGACCCAGAGTGGGGCTCGGCTAATACCCCTGTTCCTGGGGCTCCTGCTCCCCATTCCGGCTAAACTCAACTGATCACCCTTCTGCTGACTGCCCACTGCTGCTGCCACTTCCAGGGAAACCACTAGCAGCTGCCAATTTATTCTGAATAAATAAATTAATGCTACAGCTGAAAGCCTGCTTCTCATTGTCCGTGTCACTGGGCCCCAGGAGGAAAAAATGGGCCCCACTAGAGTCCAGGTGCTGAGTTCTCAGGATCCTGAAGAAAGTAGTGCTGTGGTGGGCCAGTTTCAGATGGTTATGGTGCTGGTACTGGGGCCTGGCGCTGCATATGAGGCCAGGGTCGGGCTTGTGGGCAGCACCTTGATGGGGAGGTCCCAGCTGAAGGTGTCTACAGGCACCTGCTCAGGCCCTGTCCAGGTGACAGGCTCGGGCTGCTCCACAGGAGGCAGGAGCACCAAACCTGGCTCTCGGGATGTTACAAATTCAAAATGCAATCGCCACTTCAGGGACACTGGAAAAAAGACATAGACAGGGGCATCAGAAGCTGGAACTAAAAGCCAATGACAGGGTAGGGTCAGCAAATTAGCAAAAACCTGTATTTGGGAGGAGGGGGAGAAATCACAGGACAGGGAGCTAGGATCAAGGGGTTTTTTTGCAGTAATCTAGTGTGTTCACCAGAATGTGACGATAAGGACAGCAATGTCAAGAATCTAAGAGCCCAAATGTGAGACAGTCAAGATGTGGCAGGCTAAAGTTCAAGGGGCTCGGGAATCAGCGATCAGTGAGTCACGGGTCCCCGTGAGAATGGGTAGGGGAGGAGAGCTCCAAAGCTGTTAAGCCCGCAGGGGTCAGTGCATCTAGCAAACAGGTTGAAGATCTAATAGAGTGTTAAGGTTCAGAAATTGGATGTAGGTAGTATGTCTGAGTGTTAAGAATCAGGATCCATTACATTGTATCTAAGGACAGTATTTTGCGCTCTCCCCACCTCCGATAATGGTCAGGGTCTCACCAATGGCAGTGCAGAAGCCTGGGGTGGAGCTGAGAGGGATGGGGAGGGAGAAGCTGGTTCTGGTTGTATGGAGGCAGGACTCCTGGTGTCGGGCATGAGTCACATGGGACACAGAGGGGGCACCCCCTGCCCCGCGGCGCCGCTGGTACTCTGGCTGTACACGCTCCTCGGTCTGCAAACTTACTGAAAACTGGGAGCAAGAAAAGCGTGTGCTAGCAGGCATTGGGAACTGCTGACTCTAGGTGAGAGGGCAGCCCAACCTCAACCTGCTTTACCAGAGAACCCACTATCCACTTATACATACCACCCATCTTTATGCAGGCCCTTCTGCTACCCTAGCCCTTCAGGCCCAGCGTCCCATAAGCCCCTCTCCCTTCTCACCTGCAAACAAGCTACAGTTCCTTCCCCTAAGTTTAAGGTTCCCACCACGTCCTCGCCAAGCCTGTATACAGATTTGAAGATGCCGAATGTCCCAACTTTTCCTCGGCCATCACTGATATTGTATAGATCTGGGGAAACAGAACACTGTAAGCCTGGAGTCCACACTGGAGACTGTCTAGGACTTGGAGCCAGAAGCCAAAAGGGGGGGCTTTTCTTTATAATCTGGGTGAGGTATTAGTGGACCCTCAGAAGCATGTGGCAGTTAGGAGAACTTGCCCCTGAGACAGGAGGGGAGGAGGGGGTGGGACAATCTTGAAAGGATTCTCACGGAGGCTGCGGCAGGATGTGGCAGCCATGAGGCGCTCCCCAGCCAGCTCAGCTAGCCATGAATCCTTCTTTCCCCCTTCATCCTCCTCCAAGAATGGACTGGATGGGGCTACAGCCTCATCCTGGGGAAACCGGACATCCTGAAGGCCTAGAAAGAAAATGAGCAGAGAAGTAGTGCTGGGAGGGAACAGAGGTAAGAGTAGAAGTTAGGTAAGAGTGGACCCCAACCTGAGAGAGCTGCAGGTCAGGGGAGACATGGCTGGGGTACACATCTAAACCTCTTCTCCAGAGCCTGCCCTCTACAACCCCCTCACACCTGCCCTAAGACCAGGAAGCTTCCCTCCAGCCCCTCTCACCAGCTCTCTAACCCCATTACTGCTTTGGTGAGCCTCTTCCCTAGCCCGTCCCTCCAGGAACCCTTACTTACCAGTCAGCACAAGAACCCTCAGAGGGACCCTGAGTAGCGTGATGGGTGAGTTGACACGCTGGCAGCCAATGGTCAATTTGTAGACATACTTAACTGACTGACCTCGGAAGGAGGGTGGTCCCTCTATGGGTAGCACTTCGCTGTAGGAGTCTGGTTGGGAAGTAGTAGTCAGGGCAGCCAGAGGCAGCCAGAGAAGTCCTCCCTCCGGGAATCTCAGGAGGGGTGGGAGACAGTCACTTACATGATTTGGACTCCCCAGGTTCTAGCCTCAGGTCACAGAAAAGGATTTTTGGTGGAGTGGAAAGGATACACTGACCCCTCTCACCTAAAAAAGATAAAGACTGCAGTTTAATGACCCCATTGTCCAGTACTGGACGAGGCTAGCACATCAAGTGGGGGCAGTAAGCACTGCCAACAAATGACAGCTCACAGTAAGCTATCCCTCTTTTCCTGTTGTGAGATAGCAACAGTCTTACATCCCCAAAGCAACAACTGCAACCTCCACATCCCCAAGTCACGGAGGCTATAATGACCCGCCGGAACAACTTAAAAATTTCTCCTTCAGAGACAATTGCCCCATTCCCACCAAAGGCAACGCCGGAACAACTTAAAAATTTCTCCTTCAGAGACAATTGCCCCATTCCCACCAAAGGCAACAGCCCCGTCTCTAACCTCGGTGTGGGAGAAAGACAGTCTGGCTCTCAGGCTGAACATCCGGCTGGTTGGAGTCTGGGGGAGGCAGTGCTACTCGACTCTCACTGGCATGGAACTGGCAGTGGATTTGTGCACTGGCCCAGGCCAGAGCCTCACTGTGGGAGGAAGTAAAGGCGGCATCAGGGGAGTTCCTGACCTCGCCAGAGCTCTCCCAACGCCCTAGTACACTGTCTAGAGACCAACATGGTTAGGTGCTGTCTTAGGGCCAGGAAATCAGGACCCCAAAGGAAACCATTATTACCAGAAGGGAGAGGGGGGTGAGGAAGGTAGAAGAGGGCAAAGAGGGGATAAATGGTGACAGGAGACCTGCCTTTGGGTAGTGAACACACTGTACAATTTACAGACGATATTATAGAACTGTATACTTGAAACCTATATGACTTTATTAACCAATAAGCTCAATAAAAAGAAAAAGAGACCATTAGAGAAGTGCACTGTGGGTAAAAGGGAATGGGGGAGGAGGGAGGACGGCAGAGTGGAGGGCTATGTCAACCCCATCGGATAAGCAGTCGCTGCTCCAAGGACAGCACAACGCGCAGGGAGGTGGTGGTGTAGCTGCAGGGCAGCCTGAGCTACGGCTCCGCACGGCAGACACCAGGCTTCCTGCCAGAGGGCACCTCAGGGCCAGCTCTCCCACCTGGATGCCGAGGTGGCCGTGGGGGGCAGCGGGTTGGTGACCGTCACCACACACTCCAGCGCCTCCCCCGCCAGGAACACAGGACCCCGGCTCAGCTCTGCCACTACTTCGATCATGTCAGCTCCGGAACCGGACCTGGGAGGAAACGAAGCGGGTCAGAAGTCAGTCCCCTGGCAGGGAGGGGTGTCTGCGTGGAGCTTGGGGGTGAGGACGCAAAAGACCGGCGCCAGCACCGCGGCGTCGGAGGGAAGCGCCTGCCTTTGGGTGCGGGAGGCGGATGGGCGGTAGGGCCA